GGGTGGGGGGTGCATGCAGAGAGAAGAAAAACCATTAAGCATACTATCACCAGCCCAAGGAAATTATCTTGAGTTATATTCATGGAGCATAAAAATACATAGCAACAATAATATACAATTTTATCCAGGGACCTAAACACTATAAGATAAAATTGGAATTCATGCTAAGAAAAAAGTCAGTAACAGATATTTTCTATTACATAAGTTTTACTGGACATTTTCATGATCCAAACTGTCCATGATTTTGAATATCCTGAATATACTTCATCAAGATTTACATTACAGTGGATCAAAAAAATAGGTTAGGACAAAATTAACACAACAACAGTTCTATTTTAAAACCAAAACAGAATTTATTTAGTTACATAAGTGTTTTTCATTTTGCTAGATGGAAAAAAGTTAAAGAGCATCAAAGTCCATTAGGAAATATTCTGCGAATACTTGTCTAGCACCCAGTTGAAACAATGTTCATTTTGTAAAATGATCCCCCTCATCTGACATATGTGAAATGCTGCTGAACTTTCCTCCTTTTCTGAGAAAATGTCACAAAGTGCTTTTTGTCATTTAAGTCAAAACTTTACATAAGATTAAAAAATGGTCTTACCTTGACCAACAACTAAAACAGCTATTCCTTTCTCCAGTTCTTCGATGCCTTTCTTATACCATTCAATAGCTTGCTCCTTTTGTCCTGCTGAAAAAGGAAATTAACCTATTAGTTTCCATATTGGATTAAACTCAGAAATTAATTAAACACTAATCACAACCAGGGTGCCATGGAACCCTAGGGTGCCACAAGATCCTTTGCAGAGTGCCATGAGGCATGAGGATAAGCAGATAAGTACAGCCTCAGGCTTGTCTCTGCGTGGCTGAACCCCTGCACCCATCGCCTGGGTCCATCTGCAAGGAGGTAAGATAAGAGCACCATAATATAAAAACTGTTTATTACAATTGGGTGGCACTCAGTTCACAAAAGTCATGGAGGGGTGCCTTGAATCTCAAAAAGCTAAGAACCAACAATTTTAAATAAATCTTAAAAATAGTTTTAGGCACTACACTAGCATCAAATCACTTTCCAATACTTCAGAAACATTTCCCCAAATGTTTTAAAAGACATCCAAAAACAGAAGAGGAAACTGGATTGACTACATCTATTCTCAGATAAACTAACAGTGAAATAGGCTGGCAAAAGCTTGTCAAATTAGAACAATCAGATTGAGAGAAACCACTCTTTTCTAATCTTTCTTTTACACATAACTGATATGAAAAGTCTAATATTACAGTATAAACATTTAAAAAAATGACTGAAAGTATCACAGGGATTGATGCGGTAAAGATATCTGACTTAACAGCTATGTTACAGCGTATATTTTTATTGCTTTCAAAGCAACTATTTTCTATAGTGTCACAATGTTTATAATGCAAAAGAGATGCCTATAAAAACTTATTTGGTTATTCACTCCCAACACAAAAGCATCATGTGTCAAAAATACACATCACCCTCTGCAGACTCTATGAGGGGTAAGGGAGAGCAATTCTGCCCCCACCCCCCGCAACTTGGTGCCTGGAGCAGGTGCTCCTCTCATCCGGTAGTTACACTATTGATGCTTCCATCAAACTTAACCGTGTTTTTGGAATGTCACACGTTTTCTTGAGTTTATTTTACTGACATGGCATGTATAATCACTATGTATAGGCAGTGTCAACAGTACGTAGCCCTATCATTGGGTATTTTTACCAGTGCTCAGGAACATGGCACCTGGCACTTTAATTAGCGAGCCGTGCTAATTAAAAGCCCCCTCACATCATGCATATCAGCATCCTCATGCTGAAAACATGGCAGCAGGGCGCTTTGAAATAAAACATGTTTGATGAGCTTAGTTCAAAGCACCCCACTGCTATTTCCAGCATGTTGGAGCAGGCTCTGCACACATCTATAGGAGCCCTATATTACATTAGTATGAGTCCTAGTATTTGATATGAATGTAATTTTTATGGTTCATTTTTTGGCCAAGACTATTTAGTAGATTAATCATTAACTTCAGTGTTCCTCCCCTATTCACACTTGAGAGAAGTACTTGCTGAGATATGACATGGGTATGCTGAAAGCCCAGTCACATAGACCTTTCTGAACAACACAGTCTGAAGAGCTAGAGCCAGATGCTTCCACACCAAGATGAATTTACATTTTAAAAGGGGGTGCCTATAACAAGAACAATACCTGGCTGTCTATTCAAGTCATTCAGGGATGGACATTTCTCACAGCGGGGAAACTGAGTGAGAGACAGTATCCTTGGATATGTCTGAAAGGATGTAAGTCTTCTCCTGGTCCAAATTATATCAGGAAGGACTTCTGGTCTGGGAAACAAGTACAACCCGCTTTGATGGCAAGAAGTAGCATGCGCTGTATGAGCTCTCCAAGAATGCAATGTATAATGTATGTAAATAGCCAGATAAGATACCATACTTAAGCCTTGCCACGAGAGCAACTGCTTGTCTGAAGTTTTCAGGACATAAAATGGTTTGGCCCTCAGCCTATGGGTAACAGGCTAACGGGAAACTGCAAGGACAGAAAGATCGGGGCAGCCACTGCTACCTGACCTGTGATGCCAACTAGAAGCTGCATTTGTACACTTAAGATGCAGGTTAATAGATTATTGTTGAGGTATATCCTTTTGTTTATCTATTCTTATATCTCTGGCTCCATCTCACATATGGTTACTTATTGTTTGCCTTTGGATCTTTGTTTTATAGTAAATCTTTTTGTTCTCTTTTATAAAAGACTACAGTCATTAGTAAAGGTAACAGTATTTGACTACATAAGCAGGCCTCTTCTATTTGGGGGGATGGGGGGGCGTAGGAATCTAATAATTTTGAGCACGTGACCAGACAACTATGCAATTCTTCTAACGAGCAAAAATCCCTTCTGTTAAGAGATGGAAAGACCTGGGCAAGGTGGGTAAAGCTGAAGTGCCTTCAATCAGGGAAATGGTCTTTGGAGCATCTCAGCCTGCTCTCAGTGGTCAAGCAGACAATGGTAGAGAGGGGTCTAAAACTAGAAGGCACCTCTGCAAGTGTTGGGACACCTTGGGGGCATATCACAAAGGTGCACCTCTAGCCAAATCTAGGACTAGAACATATCACAGATCGTACCTAAAATGATCTATCTAATCTATGTTGGGTGACAGTTTCAATGCAAAGTGTGCTGAAATTAAACCCACATACCCATAGACTTGTGTATCCAAATGGTATTCCACTGTCTATTTAATCACAGTTATGAAAATGAGTCATTTAACTAAGCACTCCTTTTGATTAGGCAATGTAGCAAATCAACTGTATTCACCAAGATTAAGTTACCAGCATTCTAGACAAGCTTCTTCTATTTTTCCCACACCACTAACAATGACAACAAAAGACTGGAAGAGTCATTAAGCACAGTCCCCTGCGTTCACAAGCAACCCTTTGTCCAAGAATCCACAAGATCATCCATTCCAACCCATGTTCCACACTATGCCCCAGGGCAGCCCAGGAAAAAACAATGTGTCTCAACTTAACACCAAGAGAGAATAGCACCACCATACCCTGCCAATGAAAGAGGAGAAAGTTTGACACAATCATCTTAGTATATATTAACTAGAGACAATGCACATGCTCTGCCATGTTGCAGTGGAAGACAAAAAGACTCCATAGTTTTTGTCTTGTGTTGTCAGATAGACCTGAGAAGAAAATTCCTCCTGGTGCTGATGCCTTGCAGGTTCATTGCTGACAACAAGTTTGACTCTGCGCACAAGCAAAAACCTCCATCCAGGCACCAAAGATGTTTCTAAGTACCAACAGGAACATCAGCATACCACAGCCAATTTCCCATTGCTACCTACAGCCAATGTCCTAAGTGTCAGAGGAAGGCAAGAACAAAGACCCCAAAAGCAAAATAAAAATATTTGAGGTGAGGAGGAGAAAGAGATGGATTTCTTCCTTGTCCTAACAGGTAAGCAGCATAACACCTGAAACATGCGATTATCATACCTCTTCTGCATAAATGTTTTTCTTTCAACCCTCATCAAGGGAGAATACCAACTACTTGATTTCAGGGATTATAGGCACCGATTATTGCTCTGGGACACCCGCCCCCCTTATATCAGGCTATGCCACCTGGAACTTGTCAAACCCATCTTTAAACAATCCAGGTTCCTAGTCCCCGTGGCTGATAGGCTGCTGGTTGGACAACTCTGCAGTAAGCTAAACAAATACTGCTCTTTTAAATCTACCCTTGTGAGAGTGAGCCTAATAACTCTTTCAGTATCTGTTATACTTAAATCCATCTCTTTTTTTAAACATAGATAACCAAAACTATACACTTAGTTTCACCAGTTCCTTCAGCAAAGTTACCTGGGTAAAGCTTTTCTTTCTGGTATCCGAAAACTTGCAAAGAAGAG